TAGAACACAGGCAGAAACTGAACTTGCCCCAGAGCCAGCACACCCAGTGGACCACATCGAAGCACCACCACCCAACCACCTCCACAAGTGACCCACTCAGAGGGTACCAGAGCCCTGCTGAAGTAAATCTTGCTCTGTGTGGTGGGCCCTGGACAGCTGATCCTTCAAGGTAGTCAGTGGTCAGTGGGCACAGCCAGTCTTTGCAGCTGATTAGCCTGAGTAAATTCCTCCCATTGACGTGCCAAAAGCAATCAAGACTCAATTACAACAGAAGGGTGGACAGTCCACATGAGGGGTGCACCTTGAGGGCCCAGCTAGGGTAATCAGGGAGGCTGTGCCACTGGACCCTACAAGACACCTACTACAACAGGCCACCCTATGAAGCCTAGGAGACATAGCAACTCTACCTACTACATAGAAACAAACAGGGAGGCAGCCAAAAATGAAAAGACAAAGAAACATGTCTCAAATGAAAAAACAGAACAAAACTCCAGGAAAACAACTAAATGAAATAGAGATATGCAACCTAACAGATGCAGAGTTCAAAACACTGGTTATAAGAATGTCATGGAACTCAGTGAGGAACTCCAGAGCATAAAAAAGGACAAGTCAGATATGAAGGATGCACTAACTGAAATAAAGAATAATTTACAGGGAATCAATAGTAGAGTAGGTGAAGCTAAGAAGCAAACCATCGATTTGGAATATAAGGAAGCAAAAAACACCCAATCAGAACAAAGAATCCAAAAAAATGAGGATAGTATAAGGAGTCTCTGGGACAACTTCAAGCGTACCAACATTCACATCATGGGGGTGCCAGAAGGAGAAGAGAGAGGGCAAAAAATTGAAAACCTATTTGAGCCTTGGCCGGTTTGGCTCAGTGGTTAGAGTGTCGGCCTGTGGTCCAGAGAGACCCGGGTCTGGTTCCTGCTAAGGGCACGTACCTTGGTTGCAGTTTGGCCCCTGCCCTGCTTGGGTCGTGCGAGTGGCAACCACTTGATGTGTCCCTTTCACGTCGATGTTTCTCTCTCTCTCTCCCCCTCCCATTCTATCGGAACAAAAAATGGAAGAGGATAAAATAAATAAATAAATGAAAACCTATTTGAAAAAATGACAGGAAACTTCCCTAACTTGATGAAGGAAACACATACAAGTCCAGGAAGCACAGAGAGTGCCAAACAAGAACTCAAAGAGGGCCACACCAAGACACATCATCATCAAAATGCCAAAAGTTAAAGACAAAGAGAGAATTGTAAAAGCAGCAAGAGAAAAGCAGTTAGTTACCTACAAGGGAGCTCCCATAAGACTGTCAGCTGATTTCTCAAAAGAAGTTTTGCAGGCCAGGAGAGAGTAGTAAGAGATATTCAAAGTGATGAAAAGCAACAACCAGAACAAAGATTACTCTATCCTGCAAAGCTATCATTTAGAATCGACGGACACATAAAGAGTTTCCCAGACAAAATAGAGCTAAAGGAGTTCATCACCATCAAACAAGTATTATATAAAATGTTGATGGGTCTTCTTGAAGAAGAACAAAAACATGAACAATTGAGTCTACAAACAAAATGAACAAGCAGAACAAAAACAGACTCATAGATACAGAAAACTTTGTATTGGTTGCCAGATGGGAGGGGGCAGGAGGGATGGGTGAAAAAGGTGAAGGAATTAAGAAGTACAAGTTGGCTGTTAGAATGATGAACCTCAAAGGGAAGGGAGGAGGGAGGGTGGGAAGAGATAAACCAAACAACTTATATGCATTTGTGCATAAGACACAGACAATAGCGTGGGGAAGGCAGGAGGGCAGCAGGAGCAGGGAGAAGGGGGTTGATGGGGGAAAAGAGGTAACATCTGTAATACAGTCAACAATAAAGAAAAGTTTAAAAAGAAAAAATTGACACCAGAGCACTGTTCTTTTTCTTTTCTTTTTTTTAACCATACCAGTGACCAACTGATGGGAGAAAGGAAATACCCCACTCCAGCTCCCTCCAGCCATCTGTCCCAGCCACAGGAGATAAGAAAACCGAGAAACTCCTGAAGAAGGTCACAGCACAGAGGCAAAGACCACTAAAGACTGAACCTTGCTCTGGCCAGGTAGCTCAGTTAGTTAAAGCATCATCCTAATATGCCAAGGTTTTGGGTTCAATCTCCAATCAGGGCACATACAAGAAGCAACCACTGAATGCATAAATAAGTGGAACAACAAATCGATGTTTCTCGAAAATCAATTTATAAAAAAAAGGAGAAGAATGAGGCTAACTGTAGGACCACAGAACACGCCCCTCCCCACACCTCGCCACCACGTCACTTGGGCCTATTCATAGCAGCTCCTTTCAGCTGGTGCATTTGTCTGGTTATCAAGAAAAAATGACAAGGCACGCCACAAGGTAAAAAACAGATTGAAGAGACAAGCAAACACGGACACCACCAGAGGAGGGTGAGGACATGGATGCTCACTCACTGCTGGTGAGAATGAACATGGTGCAGCCACTCTGGAAGATGGTGTGCCGGTTCCTTAGGAAACTAAACACATCCTCACCACACCATCACCAATCAGGCTCCTTGGAATGTACCCAAAGGAACTGGGCACTTATGTGCTCACAAAAACCTGCACATGGATATTTAAAGTAGCTTTATTTGTAATTGCCAAGTCTCGATGCAGAAGTTCAGTTTGTGACTTCAAAGCTCTGAGGCAAAGATGGACCTCTAATAAGTACACAGCCATGTGGAAAAGATAAATCAGCCCTACCCCTCACACTGTATGAAAAACAGAATTCAAACAAATGAGAGGTCTGCACATGAAGCATGGAGATAAAATGAGGCTGAACTCCTGCATCGGGCACCTCCCAACTCTGGTGCAGGAAAGGACTCAAACATGAACACCTTGAGGAGAGAACACTTCTGCAGAGTCAAGAGACAAATGCAACATACACTGTAATAATGGTGAACACCACACTAGTTGAAGAATTTTTAAAACGTGAGAGGAAAATGACCAAAAATCCAAAGACAAGAGATGTGAAGAGTCAATTTACAGAAAAGAGCCCTTAAAGCTATGAGAAGATACCACCACCACCCTCCCCCCAGGGAAGGCAGAGCACAAGGATCGGGAGAGGCCACTGCTCAGCCCCCAGAATGGCAGGCTGACAAGGCTGACCAGACCCTTCAGCCCAGGCTGCCCTGTGAGCAGGGGCGCGGCAGGACTGAGCTCGCACACTGCCCTCACCAGCACTACCCCTAGGAACTCACCTTGAAGATGCCCTTAGACCACATGAAAGTACAAAGGTACACGGTTAGTCGTTGCAGTGTCATTTGAATTTTGAAAATATTGGCCCCTATCTATATGCCCACACATAGGAGTCAGAAGAAACGGCTGTCCACATATCTTCACTGAAAGCAACACAAAGGACAACCTAGGAAACCAGGGTAGTAATGATGGAGGGAGCGATGTCCCTGTGCAGACCTTGGAAAGGATGGGAAGTTGGACCCGAAGACAAAGCAAACGGAAAGCATGAACGCAACCACAAGTCCAAGAAAAGCACATCCATAATCAAGGGGGACTAATGCAAGGGCAGTATTTGACCACGGACCCCGTTGTGAGCGCGGAGCGAAGGATGTGAACGACCAGCCTCTGTCCGCAGGTTGTTTCTGCAGTTACATGGCAGAGCAATTCTGAGGCGTTACCTGCTGAGCAAGCGCATCGCCTTTGCTGGGGTCAGGGTCACTGTGGGAGCCGGGACAGGTGTGGACCCGGGGGGTATACACAAGCCCACAGATAGGTAGGATTGGAAGTGTAGCAGCACACACCATGGATTCTCACACACGTGTACATGCACGTGTGCAGCACCCTGTCATTCCTCGCTCTGCCCACAGAAGGGGCCTAGAAACAGACCTACTGATAACAATGAGCACATTTTGCACCCGATCTTGGTCCGTAAAACCACTCCCCGCCAAAAGGTGCCCTCAGAGAAATAGCTGGTTCCAGGGTAGGGATCGAGGCCAAGAGGAGCACGGGCCTCCTTGTGCCAAGAAGTAGGAAAGTGCTCCAGAAATGAACAATGGTGGACATGTGACAGGACAGAGCAGCCTAACAGCCTCCTGGAGTGAATCTTGCACAATCTGATCACAAGGTAAGTAGACGGAGTGACCCTCAAACCATTAGGTCCAGCAGCAACCCATGCACACGTGCCAATACAATGATTTGAATGCTCAGAAATAATGAGTGACAAATCCCAAAAATAAATATCAAGAACTGATGACAAACAGATAAATGGGGGCAGGAGGGAGCTCACACAGTGCCCAGTACCAGCTGGCAGGCATGGAGGTCCTGCACAGACTGGTGGCAGCATCGTCAGCGGGCGCAGAGTGGGGCACAACTGCAGGAGGTCCCAGTCTTTAGGGTTTGCAGTATGCCAGTCAGTCACTGGAGAAAACAGTGACTAAGAGGTATCTTTCCTAGGTCTAGGCCATGTGGTAGGCAACTCACTCTTGAATGCTCAGACAATAGCCTGTCTTTATGCATGTGTGTATGCACGTGTGTGCACACATGTATGTGTGTGATGCATGTGCAGGAGCACCCCGTCCTCAAAGTGTGAGACACACTTTGGCTACTTAAGGAATCTGGGTTAGTAAAGCATAAAAGTGCTGAAATCATCACACAAAAATAAAACCTAGGTGAAGGCCCTCTCTGGGACTGTCACATACATGACTGCTGCCTGCCGGTTCGGCTCAGCAGACGGAGTGTCACGTCAGCCCGAGGACCAAAGAATCGTGGGTTCGATTCCGGTCAAGAGCACGACCTCAGTTGAGGTTCAATCGCTGGCTCTGGCCAGGGTCATGCAGAAGGCAACCAATCGATGTCTCTCTCACATGGATGTTTTGCTCTCTCTCTCTTCCCCCTCCTCTCTGAAAGGCAATGTAAAAATATTCTCAGTGAGGGTTAAAATAAATAAATACATAAAGACTGCTAATAAGAAAAGATTTAAAAAATTTAATTCTCATTTAATTTGAACATGTGTACGTCTAAAGTTTCCTCTGAAATGGAACTGTGTCCCTGTGACTATGAAGACCCACAGCTCAGGATGCAGGTGGGGACACCATCCAGCAGGTGCAAAGATGCTGCCTCCACAGCTACACAGACACCCATATGATCCCCGAAGGCTGCACTGTTAGGTGCTCTGAGGCCAAGGCAGCAAACGTGTCGTGCCTCCCAATAGCAGCTTCCCGGGGTGGCCGACTGTCCTGCAGCTGTGTCTGGGACCCTCATACTCATGAGCAGTGTACAATGCAAATGTGGGCTCCGTGCCTCAAGCGTCGTGGTGGTTGACTTCCACCAGCCTTCTTGGGCCTGCGTGGGAGGCACGTTGTGGTTCTGTGCTGTTTCCTGTGGGGTGCTGTGCATTCCCCTCAGGAAGGCCTGAGGAGTCTCTCCAGAAGCACCAGCTTCGTCTGCAGGTTGACATTGAAGGGAGGCAGTCTGGTCAGGTTCAGACTCACCCCAGTGGTGCCTGCGACGCTGGCCAGCACCCGGTGCGTGTCCCTATAGAGGGTCAGGTGCCTGGGGGCCGCTTCCATGAGCAGGTGCGTGTAGGCCAGCATGTGCTGCGACCCAGGCTGCACATCCTCCCTCTTCTCATATCTGCAGGAGGATGAGAATGTGTGCACCTTGCTGCAGTCCCACGCCAGCCCTGTCACCCAGGTGTCCCCAGGGTGCCCAAGCACAGCCCCTGGGAAAAGCACCACTACCTGCAGTCACACCATGGCGAGAACCTACCTCCAGGCGCCATTGACCTCCAAGAACCGAGACACGCCTGTCTGTGCAGCAGCCACATCAATGTGCAGGACGACGTCTGTGGGACACCGTGCAGTCAGTTGGAACTGTGGCTGGGCACCTCTGGCCCAAGCTGTGCCCAATCCCCGCATAGCCCGAACACTTACCCGTCTGGGGGGTCACCAGCTCGTGCAGCCTCTGCATAGCCACGCCACCAGGGTAGTTGAAGTGGGACACGTACAGGGCCGTGGCCGAGTAGGCGGCGTTCAGCAGGAGGTGCCCTGTCACGAGGAGGGAGCCTGCTTTATACAGCCAGGACTTCCTGTAGTTGTTCAGTCTGGAAGAAAAGTGGTGCGTTTCCTGTGATGGCAGCAGGGGGAGGAATGTCACTGGGAACACAGACCTGCTGGTCACCTTCGCTGAGTCCTAATAAGTTTACTCACCAAGTAGATACCTAAATTACCAGAGAAGTGGGTAAAAACTACCTTAAATTTTTTTTCTGTGAAATTCTGCCCAAGATGACAATTCCAAGTTGATATTAGATTTTGAAACATCGTGAGTTATGCCTCAGATCAGAGCACAGCCCTGAGGCCAAACCCCACATGCTGTCTGGCTTGTAAGGGGAGCCAACCAGATGATGCAGAGCCAAGGCCACGGCACGGAGCATGAGGTCACCGTGCGGAGCACGAGGCCACGGCGCAGTTCACGAGGCCACAGCATGGAGCACAAGGCCAGGGTGCGAAGCTCGAGGCCACGGCCCGGAGCGTGAGGCCACGGCACGGAGTTGAGGCCATGACACAGAGCTGAGAACACCGTCTTCCTATTTCTTGACAGAGGGTGCTGCCTGTGTCAACCTGGGACCCTTGAACACACTCTGGTCAGGCCCTGCTGAGCCCTTCCTGACTAGTCCCTCACCTATGAGGACTGCAGACCCTGGCATGAATGTCCCCCACCGCCAGTCAAGGCGGCACCCCAAGGGAGGCCTCAGCCCTCAGATGCCTGCCTGAGGAAGCCCCACGACGCCAGAGTTCACCGTGTGTTCCAGCCAAACCTGGCGATGGGAGGTGGCCCCGGACAGCTCTGAGCAGTGACTGCAGAAAGCTGGCCAGTGAAGCCCCGTCTCTACCCTTCGAGACGCAAACCCCTCAAACCTTCACCCTGGGACTGGGGTCGGCGTTCAGGAGCAACACTGCTGTGTCCCCAGAGAGCGCAGCGCTTCCTCCTGCTGCAGACACACAGCTTGTCCCTTTCTCTCTGGTCCCCACCGTCCCACTCTTCCCCCACAGGCCGGACTTCTGGTCCGGGAGGGTGAGTTCGGTGCACCAGCACCCTGCCCCCGCCAAGGGCTTCGCAGAGCTCAGGCTCCTGAGTGCCTAGCTGTGACCCCATGTCTGTTTTCTGTGAACTAGGTACCCCTCCCTCTCGGCCCCCAAGGACGAGCCAGCCTGCCACTCTGAGCAGCCCTTTTTCACGTGACCATCCAGCCTCAGACCCTCCCTGCCTGGCCGCTATCTCCCGTGCTGTTCCCACGGGACTGAGCCCCGAACACAGCACAGCCATGTGCAGACAGGCCTGAGACACGCATCGGGATGAACTGAACACAGACGGACCAAGCAGAGCCGTTGGGCAGAGCATGGCCCATCCTGACCTGGGCTTGGCCCATGGCCATTGCCATGGAGACAGTCGGGGCTGCCCTGATCCCCTTGAGCAGCAGTGAGCCATCTCGTGCCAGCACTCACAGGTAGGCGCAGCCCCGGGCAGCCACGGCGTTGAGCAGGGGAAAGGTGTAGATGATGAAACGCAGCTCCTTGTGCGGGAGCAGCGAGTACAGGGCTACGAAGCCCAGGGCCGGCAGGAGCAGCGCCCAGGCCCTTCTGTCCACGAGGCCCAGAGGCACGAAGAGCAGGCTGCTGCCCAACCCCCGGGGCAGGGCTGAGTAGAAGTACCACAGCAGAGGTGAGGTCTGGGTGGAAGGGTTAAGGAGACCACATGTCAGTGACAGTCACCTGGCCAGTCATCTGGGCTCAAGCCGGGAGACAGGAAAGACATAGCTCTGAAAGGCGTCCCTGTCCAGGGTGCCCGGAACCCTGCCTCAGATCACCACGTGATCCCCTTCACCCGTGCACAGAGGCCGGGACCTGGGCATGAGCACCAGCACTGCGTCTCGTGGATGGTGACCAGGGCTGCACAGGGTTATTCCTTCCCCTGTGAAAACGACTGTCCTGGGTGATGGGTGCCCTGGGGACTCAGAACACTGTTCTTTCTGTGTGTTTCAACATCCCACAGTAACATCAGAAAGCAGAGCATCACAGCACTCAGGGAGAAGCTGGGCTCCAAAAGGTGGTGTTTCCAAAGGGTGGACAGGACACCGGAGCAGGGAGACCCCCACAGGCCCCGCCTCCTGGGGTCTCCAGTGTGCACAGGGCAGAAGGTGCGGTCCTGGTGCTGCAGCCGCCGCCACACCCCAGCTGCACCTCTGGCAGGCTGCCCCTGCAGGTGTGCCGTCAGGTGCCGGGAGCCGGAAGGAAAGCCGCTCCTTGGGTCTGGCCTAAGGAGGCCCAGCAGCCGCACCTGCCCAGCAGCCAGCCCACAGCGCCAAAGGATACTCCCCAGTTGGAGCTTTTGTTCTGGATGGTGTTGTACCAGAGCACAGTTCCTTCCGGCCACACAAGGTAGCACCAGAAGTAGGAGTCCACAGCGACCGTCAGTCCTAACAAAGAGAAACGACTTCCCAGGAAAGGACACAGCACCTGGACACTCAGACCGCGACCCAGGCCGCTGGGTGAACGAAGGGCAGCCCGTGTCCAGGGCACAGGTCTGTGTGCCCATGGAGCTGCCCCGTCGGCCCAGATACCACAAGACACCAGCTTCAGGGGAAGGGGCTGGCATGTTGGGGCCTTGATCCTGGGGAGCATCTTCCTGTGGGGTCCCAGGCCCCAGGCGCAGCAGGAGGAGGGGTGCTGTGGACAGAGGCTGCGCGGCAGGGGAGTGCCTCATGGGGACACCCGGCAGCACGGGGGGACAGCCGCATGCAGACCTTCCAGTGCTGCCCGGGGCTCACGCAATCCTGTTTAATGACAGAATGGCCAACCCTCCCACTTCTCTTCACTGTGAGACACAACCAAGCACTGCCTGTCAGGACAGCACACAACTCACCCAGGCAGAGCAGGCCGGCGGGCACAGCATGGCGCAGGGCCTTGGTCACAGACAGCCGCCGGGTGCACAGCAGCAGCAGCAGCACGAGGCCCAGCAGCAGGCTCAGCTCGGCCCTGAAGACCAGGATGGCCAGCGCTGAGAGCTGGATGAAGCGGGCCCACCTCTGCTGCAGGCAGGCTGTGAGGGCCAGCAGCACTGTGAACACAGCAAGACACAGGCATGTACCTCTCCTGTGAGAGCCACGCAGAACCCCCAGAAGACAGCAAATGCTGCTCAGGACCAGGTCCACCGATGCAGGCTGGGCTCCATCCAGGGCATCCTGCCCCATCGCCCAGCCTGGACCCCAGGGGCTGCGCCCAGCCCCTGCTCCACATCTCCTTGCCCCTGTGCAGCGCCCACCTCAGCCATCCTCCACGCCAGTGCTGCTGAGCTCAGCGTGTCCTGCTGGCTCCGCCCACAGTTCACTGGGAATGGAGCCCTGCTCGCCACCTCTCCCGCTGTGTCCAGCAGAGGGCCCCTCCCCAGGCACGGTGAGGGCCAGGCCACGTCTCTACTGGGTCAGCCCTCAGCCCAGTGAGAGCCATGGGGGTCATCAAGGGGCCAACAGGCATGCCTGTCAGCTCCGTACCTGTAGGCAGGGCCAGCACGTTGGGGAGTGTCCGTGTGCAGTAGAACATCAGATGGAACTGTGTGGCTGTCATCCAGCAGAACATGGTGGCCGCTGTCGCTCCAAAATGCCGTCGCACTTCTTTTTGAAAAGTCCAGAGTCCAAAAATGACACCAAGTCCGAGGACGGCTCTGACTGAACAAGAACAGTGACACTGTGACCAGCAGACAGACGCCCAGGACGAGCGGGTCTCTGGCACTGTGACCAGCAGACAGACGCCCAGGACGAGCGGGTCTCTGACACTGTGACCAGCAGACAGACGCCCAGGACGAGCGGGTCTCTGGCACTGTGACCAGCAGACAAATGCCCAGGACAAGCGGGTCTCTGGCAGTGGTTGGTTAGTGACCAGGGACAGTGGAATGACTCTAAGAGGGGAGTGGTCTTCAGCACTGAAAACAGACGGCATGTAGGGAATGGGTGGCCTGGACCCCAGCGCTTCACTGTGACTGCGAGACCTGGGGCAGGGCAGGGCAGGCAGTGTCCATCCCTCAGTATGACAAGCTGGCACCAGCACCAGAGGCCCCTCACTTGGCCATGACACCTCCAGGGCCACATTTATGAGGGCCCAGTGCTCAGACGGGTCCTCATTCTCCCTTCCAGAGCCCCCAGGGCCCGGGACAGCACCGCCTGTCTAGCTGCCCCGTGTAGCGGTGTCTCCCACGCGGCCCTTCAGCGAGCTCAGCTGCTCGTCCTCAGGAACAGCTGCCACAGCTCATCGCCAGGCCAGACAGACTCGCTGCGAGAACGTGTTTGCGTCTGTTGGGGAAATGTGATTACAGTCTGGGTTTGGACGCGATGAAAACACACTGAAACAGAAAGACGGTGATCACTGGCTGGAAACCAAGGCTGCAGAGCTCTGTGCAGCAGCCCTTCTAAATTGGGCCCAGACAGAAGTCCAGAAGGATCTGCACAGGCAGCCTCTGGGCAGGAAGGTGCAAACACCCTCATCTCAGGCGAGAGAGGTGCTCAGTTCCCTGTCCCTGGTCCTACCCCAGAAAGGGCTGACGTCTGACCTCGACCAGTGCTCTGAACCACCACACTGAGTGGCCGAGGACAGCGCAGGCCCACAGGTGGACACTGCTGAGTGCGGGAGCCTCACGCTGCTGGCTGAGAGCACCAGACCTCATGACAGTTCCGCTGTTCCCATCGGAAGACTCCGTCCTTACCTGTTAGCTGACAATAAAACTTGGACATTCCCAGCAGTGACAGCATACAGACTATAGGGCTGGACACCACCGCAATCACCAGCGGCCCAAGGAACGTCCTGGGGACCACGCCAGGAAACTCCAGGTGGTCATACTGCAGGGGGAGGGCAAGGTCAGCAGAGGCCCTGGGAATCGGGGACGACATGGACATAGGTGTGGTCCTCACCTGCTCCACGTCCAGCCGGTGGTAGAGCAGGTCATGCACGGCCTGCAGGCTGAAGCTCTCTTCCACCTTGGTGTAGGGACAGGTGACCAGGTGGATGGCAGCTATGGCAACCAGCAGACCCAGCAGGCGGCGCTGCCTGCCTGAGCCCGATTGCCTCTTCCCGGCCATTCTGTGCTTCAACTTCACGCACTGTCCGTCATCAACCGCCAGCACCGCCACTCTGGGAGCATTTCACAGGATGAAAACGGAGATCCCCCAATTTTAAAAGTCACGCTTGAGGCAACACCTGGGACATCCAGATGAAGGGTGAGTGGGAATGGTTCTCCCAGCTTCTGTAATTATAAAAACACATTGGAACAGTTTCTACAAAACTCTCGAGAAGCATTCTCACTTTAACCAGCTACCTTACACTAAGCTGGGCGAATATTTCTCCAGGAAGAAAGAACTTGGTTGCAGAACCTGAGTTTAGTCATGTCTGCCTTGAGGGCAGGATGGCCCCTGCTGTGAGGTGGGCACACAGGAGGGGGACACAGGGCACCCAGAGGAGCCCCTGCGCCCTGCACGGTGGGTGGGGCTGTGGGCCCCTGCCCTGCTGCCTTGTCAACTGCCCCTGGGTGCCACCACACTGGTCACAAACGTGAATGCAAGAAGGACGATGTGTCCTTAAAGGGTTCAGACAGATGTGCCGGCAGTGGACTGCCCAGCTACCAACAGGACAGTGAGGGAGACCATGGAAGTGCCCAGTCAGTTCTTGCCTGGAAGACCTAGGTCAGGGGGCGAAAGGGGTTTCTGGCTTGTCTTTCAACAGGTTTGGTGAATCCAGAAGGGCCAGAAGCAGGAGCGCCAGGGTACTGTTTGTTCAAGTTACTCTTTGTTAGAGGGAAGTTTAAGGAGTCTGCCCTCTCCAAGGACAGCCAAGTGGTGGGCCGGTGAGAAGGACCTGGAATCCGGCTGGATCCGGCCAAGGCAGTGGTGAGGTAGAAGGGGAAGAGGCTTCTCATAATCAGAATCACCAAAACGATACCCAACACCCCTTGGAAGTAACCTGCTTTTCCCTTCCAAACAAAACCCCCGATGGAAAGCTAAAGGGTGGGATTTTTTTGGTTTATTTTTGTCCCCCTCCCCACTGTAGCCTCAGCAAGAATGGACCCTGGTCATTGTATGAGGTGCTCAACCATGCCGGATGGAAGATGCCTGTGAGTACCCCGCTGCCAGGTTCACATCCTGTGGGCAGGACGCCTGGGCAGACTCACTGCTGTATCAGTAAAGCCCTGGCCGCCGTGGCTCAGGGCTGGGCATGGTCCTGTGCACTGAAAGGTTGCCAGTTTGAGTCCCAGTTGGGAGCCATTGATGTTTCGCTCTCACATCCGTTTCCCTCTCCCTCTCCCTTCCTCTCTAAAAATCAATAAAAACATATTTAAAAAAACAAAACCCTCTTAAGTGTGGATATCATCACACCAATTTATGTTTTTAACAAAAATACACAAATACTTTAATTCCAGTAAAGCCAAGACCACAGAACATCTACGTCCTACTGTTCCTCTGTTGTTGCTGTTGGGGGGGGGGGGGGTGGCTAAAGAAATAGGAAGCATCTGTACTTCCAAATTGCGGAAGCAGCTGCATAAGGCAAGAACCCGCCATAGCCCACGGTCCCGGTTGGCTAAGAACAGGCCTGTCCCTGCAGACCCCGCTCCATGCTTCTGCCCAGAGGATGTTCCCCTGCAGGAAAACCCACTGTTATCTGCTGGGGGTGAATGCCTATGAGCAAAACTGGGCCCCCCAGGCCGAGGGGCTTCTCATCGACATGAGAGTGTGACCAGGGCAGAAGCCAACTGCCAAGCAGCTCTTGTGGAAACAAGTCTCGACCAGATGCTCAGGACCCACAGTCAACCCACCACTGGGGCTCGGGAGGGTGAGTGACATTTGTCAGCACTTGTCCACCCTGCTGGCAGCTGTGCAGCCACACGTTAAAATCAGCCACGACGCCAAAAAATGTGGCTTATAGAACCCTGGGGTGTCAGACCAGGGATAAGCTCCAAGGCCTCCTGTTCCCTCCATGAGGCATCCGTGGCCTCCACTGAAACTGGTCAGATCAGCCGTTCAAAGAAGTCAGCTCCGGCTGCAGACACAAACCACCCGCCAACACCAGAGAAAACTCTGTATCGTTTGTACGTCTTCCTTCCGGCAGGCATGTCCTCCTGGAATTCGGGTAACGCTCACCTTAGCTCTCCTCACTGAGCCCCCGCCTGCAGGGCTCCTCACCTGGGGCACCTGGGGCAATGCAGATTCCAGGGCCAGTCAAGACACTGACCAGGCCCCAGGTGAGGGACCCGCCCCCAGGTGAGGGACCCGCCCCCAGGTGAGGAGCCCGCCCCCAGGTGAGGAGCCCGCCCCCAGGTGAGGAGCCCGGACCCAGGTGAGGAGCCCGGACCCAGATGAGGAGACGCCCCCAGGTGAGGAGCCAGGCCCCAGGTGAGGAGCCCGGACCCAGGTGAGGAGCCCGGACCCAGATGAGGAGACGCCCCCAGGTGAGGAGCCCGGACCCAGGTGAGGGGCACGCCCCCAGGTGAGGAGCACGCCTCCAGGTGAGGAGCCCGGCCCCAGGTGAGGAGCACGCCTCCAGGTGAGGAGCCCGCCCCCAGGTGAGGAGCACGCCTCCAGGTGAGGAGCACGCCCCCAGGTGAGGAGCACGCCTCCAGGTGAGGAGCACGCCCCCAGGTGAGGAGCACGCCTCCAGGTGAGGGGCACGGCCCCAGGTGAGGAGCCAGTCCCCAGGTGAGGAGCACGCCCCCAGGTGAGGAGCACGCCCCCAGGTGAGGAGCACGCCTCCAGGTGAGGAGCACGCCCCCAGGTGAGGAGCACGCCTCCAGGTGAGGGGCACGGCCCCAGGTGAGGAGCCAGTCCCCAGGTGAGGAGCCCGCCCCCAGGTGAGGGGCACGGCCCCAGGTGAGGAGCCCGGCCCCAGGTGAGGAGCACGCCTCCAGGTGAGGGGCACGGCCCCAGGTGAGGAGCCCGGACCCAGGTGAGGAGCCCGGCCCCAGGTGAGGAGCCCGGCCCCAGGTGAGGGGTACGCCCCCAGGTGAGGGGCACGGCCCCAGGTGAGGAGCCCGCCCCCAGGTGAGGAGCCCGGCCCCAGGTGAGGAGCCCGGCCCCAGGTGAGGGGTACGCCCCCAGGTGAGGGGCACGGCCCCAGGTGAGGAGCCCGCCCCCAGGTGAGGAGCCCGCCCCCAGGTGAGGGGCCCGGCGGCCGTCCCAGCGAACACGCACGGCAAGGCCGGAGGAGAGCTGCGGAAACTCTGGCTCGGGAACCCCGCCTCGAGAACCCCGCCGCCCACCCCGAGAGCCCCGGCCGCGGCAGCGTTCGCTGACCTGGCTCGCAGCGGCGCCGGGACCCGAAGAGCGGCCGCCTGGCTGCCCCCGGTCGGAAGAGGAGCGGCGGAAGTCGAGAGCGGAGGTGAAGCCGTTGCCTGAACCTAACGTGGCCGCCAGAGCCTAGCCGCCGTCGCGCAGGCGCCCCACTCGCCCGGAGTAAAGATGGCCGCCGCGGCAGCGCATGCGCCCCTCTTCCCGCCCCCTCCCGGCTGGACGCTGACCCGGGGCCTTCCCATTGGTTACTTCTCGTGGCGAGCCCTAATTGGGCCACATGGGCACGGGGCGGATTCCCCCGACCAATAGCGGTGCGAGGGAAGGCGGGGGGCGGGGCCTCGCGCGGGACAGTCAAGTAGCCCCGGGAACTGCCGGCACCGCTGAGCCGGTGGGCGGCGGGACGCCGGAGCGCTCGGCCGCCCCTTCCCGACCTCGGCCAGTGCCCGCTCGGCCCGCCATGCGCCCGCCGGCCCCGGCCGCGCTGGGGCTGCTGCTGCTGGGGCTGCTGCTGCCGCTGCCGCCGCCGGGCGAGGCCGCCAAGAAGCCGGCGTCCTGCAAGCGCTGCCGGGAGCTGGTGGACAAGTTCAAGCAGGTGGGCGGCCCCGCGGGGCCCGGAGCCGGGGGCGCGGGAGCCGAGCTGGGGCGGCAGGACCCGGGTCACCCCGCGCCCACCTCTGCCCGCAGGGAATGGCGGACACGGCCAAGAAGAACTTCGGCGGGGGCAACACGGCGTGGGAGGAGAAGTCGCTGTCCAAGTACGAGTCCAGGTGGGTGCGCTGGGGACGCGGGGGGCCCTGGGCGCGCCGTCTGCTCCCGGCCTGGGCCGACCCGCGGGCCCCTAACCGGCCTTTGGCTTCCCGTGCGCACCACAGACGCGCGGGCCTCCCAGGGGTGCGGGCTGGGTCGGGGCCCCGCCCTCCCGCGCCCCCTGTGGGGGGCTGCGTCCCCCTGTCGGGGCTGCGTCCCCTCGGGACCCCACCGCCCTCACCCTGAGGACAGAGGCCTCCCGGCTCCCCACGCGCCCTGGAGTGCAGTCCTCTGCGCAGCACCCAGCCCCCAGCCCCCCGGCTGTGTTTGCTGAGCCCGCGGCGCTGCAGGCGCTGACCCCGTGCTGGCTCCTTGCAGTGAGGTCCGCCTCCTGGAGATCGTGGAGAGCCTGTGCGACAGCAGCGACTTCGAGTGCAACCGCCTGGTGGAGGAGCACGAGGAGCAGCTGGAGGCCTGGTGGCTGCGGCTGTGAGTGTCCAGCCCTCCGGGTGGCCGGAACCCCGCGGTGCTTTGCCGTGAATGCGTAAACCTGAGATACTTTCGGGCCTAGAGAAGTGGCAAAGCGGTACAGAGAGTGTTCCGCCTGCCTGTCTTCTCTCCGTTACCCTCTTTGAGGACCTTAGTGCAGCGAGGACGTGAGCCAGGAGAGTGTGTTCACACCTGGCGGTCCCTTCTCAGGTGTCAGGGCACCTGGAGCATCTGTTACAGGAAACTGTGTCGTTGCTTTGAAGAAACCTGTTGTGTGAGGCTTAACGAACGCTTTTTAAATCCTTAGGAAGAAGGAGTACCCTGACTTATTTGAATGGTTTTGTGTGAAAACGCTGGAAGTTTGCTGTTCTCCCGGAACGTATGGGCCAGACTGCCGTGGTACGTTTTCTCAGGGAGCTCCTGAGTTAGCCCGAAATGATTCCCAATGGGCAGAAGCACAGGAGGGAACCTGGCTGGCTGCCCCCATAGGATCTGGGGCTCCACCTCCTCCAAGCCCAGCACAGGGGTCCTTCTAACCCACCTGCCGGTGCTGCCGGAGGCCAGGTGGCAGCGCCCGTGGCGGCAGCGCCCGTGGCCCCAGCGCCGCTCTGCTCACAGCAAAGACCCGCTTGTGAGAGGCTGGGGCCAGTGGCGTCTGCCGGGCTGCGCATGTCGCGTTCAGCCTCGTGGTGAGTCAGGGCTACGGCACGGCTCACTGTTGGGCATTGCCACGGTCACGCATGTGGTCAGCTGACGTGGCGTAGTTTTCAAGGTAAGACCCCCACTGGCTGGAGCTGCCTCCTGCCTGCCAGCCTTGCTTTCCTGGTGAGTGGGGCAGGTCTCGCCCCCTCTGCAGTTCCCACACCCTGGGTGGCGCATCCTCATCCCAGGCTTCAGGGAGGCTGCCAGATGCCCTCGCTGAGCTTGTGGGCTCCCGTGTTCCTCAGAGGGTGCTGCTAGTTGTAGGGGTAAAGCCGGGTTTGGGTTTTAGCAAAGATCCAGAAAGCTATCTTGATTGTACATCAAGTGAGTGAAGTGGCCTTTTCTCTGTGTGAGCCGCGCCATGGCTGCCTCCTGGTGCACGCCGACACGGTCTGTGTCCCCACAGAATGCCAGGGCGGGTCTGAGAGGCCCTGCAGTGGAAACGGCCGCTGTAGCGGAGACGGCACCCGAGAGGGCGACGGGTCCTGCCAGTGCCACCTGGGGTACCGTGGGACCCTGTGCACCGACTGCATGGACGGCTACTTCAGCTCGCCGGGGACTGAGATGCACGTTGTGTGCACAGGTACCACGCAGCGCCTGTCCGTGTGGGGCAGAGCCCTGCAGAGGTGGGGATGGGGGCACCTGTCAGTCTCCTACCCTAGGGTTTCAGGGATGTGTGAAGGGAAGAGACAAGACCAGTGCACCTCAATGGTTGCACTTCCTGTCCCTAAGCAGCCCCAGGGGAGAGGCGTGTCCCTTTTCTCCTGACCTTCTGGAGACGGCCTCAGGGTTGGCAGTTCTATGACATCCTTTCTCGCGAGCTCTCCTGCTGTGCTGCTGGCCCTCACGCCATTGTGGTTACCCCGGTGTTGGGTGAGGTGGGTCTTCCTACCTGGTCTTCAGAGGCTATTACCTGGGTCCCCTCAGTGTGAGTCTTACGCAGGCAGACCCTCTCAGCTGTGCCCATCCAGGCGATGTGGGCACACACCCTGTGACGCACCAGCCCCGGGCGAGCACCTAGGGCGCCACACGGACTGGCAGCTCTGGGGTGGTTATAAATTCACGGCTGGCGTCATGAGTGGTGGCCTTGGCAACACATTTTCTCACTGGAGAGCTCTGACATGCAGGAAGCTACAGGCTGTTCTGCCTCTGTCCTGGCTCCTCACATGGTCACGTGTAGCTGCTCCCCGATCCCCAGACCCTTTCCCGGGACATGGGTGTGGAGTAGGTCACACCACCAGCTTACAGAAAGCTCCCTGGCCAGCTTCGATGAGAATTTGTCACTAATAATGGGCATCGAAAGCCCCGTGTAACGTTGTGAGTCACACAAGTGTGTTTTTCTGTCTTTAAATGAATCTTGCTTTCCTGAGGTTTTTTGCTTGTTTTTAAGGTTTTTTTTTAACTTTATTGATTTTAGAGAGAGAGGAAGGGAGAAGAGAGAGAGAGACACATCGATGAGAGAGAACATCAACTGGCCGCCTTCTGCATGCCCCGCCTTGGGGTTGGGCCCACTACCTGGGCATGTATGTGCCCTGACCAGAAATCAAACCGGTGACCTCTTGGTGTATGGGTCAATGCTCAATCACTGAGCCACACCAGTTGGGCTGATTTTGGTTTTTATTTTCGCCCCACTGAACATAAGTTCCTCTCTTCTGAAATGAGCTTTGCATCGTGTTCATACCGAGAGTGGGATTCCTGAGTATTGACGGCCGTCCCCTCTGCCTTCCAGCTTGCGACGAGTCCTGTAAGATGTGCACGGGCCCAACCAACAGAGACTGCACCGAGTGCGAAGTGGGCTGGGTCCAGGAGGGCGGCGCCTGTGTGGGTGAGGCTGCTGGCCCCGCCCAACCTCCTTCCGCCCCCTTTTCCACCCTGTCCTCCACTGCCCATGGGGCCTGCACACTTCCTTCCCCTGGGGCCAGGTCCCTTCGACACTCAGCCCCATTGGAGACTGGTGGGGAAGGTGACTGGTCTTCCATGTTACGTTGTAACGGTCCGGCGTGGAGACCTAAGTTTACACATCTGCGTCTTGCCCGAGAGCTGTTGCAGAGGCGTGTTCAGCTCTCAGGACCCTCTGGTTTCCTTTGACCCTCTGCAGCCTGCTCTCGGCTGGGAAGGGGGCTCCTTCACCAGTTGTCCTTGCTGTCAGTGACCCAGGTTTCATAAGAGACATATGTGGGGGCCAGCTAGTGTTCTGGTGCAGACTGGGGGGGGCGTCGTCTCTGACGAGTGGGGATGCAGAGCAGTGGCACAGGCAGGGTGCAGGCAGGTCCTGGGGTCACCGACCTCCCTGTGACCTGGATTGCCACACTGGTCCATCTGTGTGGCTGCGGAGGAGGCCCTGCCCGCCTGACGCACCCTTGCCCTGGCTCTGCTTGCCACGTGGCCTTGAGGCCTTGAGCACAGCTCTGGTCTGTCCCCGCCCACCCGGCCTGCTGGCCACCGCCTGCTGCAGTGTGTCCTTTGCTCTGACTCCGGTCTTCCTGGATGCGCAGGCGCACAACCCAGCCCTGCAGCCTCGAAGCCCTGACCCCACGGACCTGCAGGCGGGCCGGAGGGGCTGCAAGTGGAGCAGCTGCCCTCCCTGCACCACGGCTTTGGTGGCATTGTGACTGACCCCACCCTCGGACCTACGTGGCCTTAGGCCGCTCGGCTGTGTGCCCTATGTCCACTGGCGGGAGTGCAACCCCCGGCCCAGTCCAGACGCAGGGCTCGTGTGAGGCTATGCGGAAGCAGGTGCTCACGCACTGGCCGCTCACAGCCACCCTGCCTCATGGTACCACGGGCCCATGTCCACACCCCAGCAAGAGGCCTCTGAGGATGACCATCAGAGTGTGTCCACACGGCGGTCACTCTCTCCTCCAGGCTAGCCCTGGCCGCGGGTCGTGTCGAGTGGCCAGCTCTGGTCCTGAAGGTGGCTGGGCCTGCTGCTCACAGCTGTGTCTTGTGTTGCAGACGTGGACGAGTGTGCAGCAGAGACGGCTCCCTGCAGCGCCCAGCAGTACTGCAAGAACGCCAACGGCACCTTCCAGTGCGAAGGTGCGGGTCCGGCCCCTCCCCGCAGCCCTTGGGGTCTCAGCCTCGTGTCCTTCCCGCTCTGAAAGCCCAGTGGCAGCCTGGGCGGCAGTGTTTGCCGCAGGGACTCGGGACGCTGGAGTGCGTTGCAGAGACGCTAGGAAACCACCACGTCCACGGAGGGGCCTGCACGTAGGACGGACTCCCCGAGACTTCCTCCTGCGCCTCTGGGGACGCGGGGCCTCGGCTCTGACCCCTTTGTGCACCACCTCCTTCTGTTTCGTGGTCACGGTTTCGGGGCGGGCTGCTGTCTCCCTCGTTTTCCCCAGCAGTCCACAGTGCTGGGCTGAGACAGACCCGTCCCCACAGTGTGAGCTGCAGATGCCCTGTGGGTAGAGCGCTCCCGTTCCTCACTGCTGCTTCTAACCTCACTGAGGACATTTTCCACTCACCTTTAGGCCGATCAGGAGGGAGGGTGAGAGAGAGAAACATCCACATGAGGGACACAGGAGTGGCTGGCTCCTGCGCGACCCCGACCAGGGCCGGGGCAAACCACAACCGAGGCACGTGCCCTTGGCCGGAATCAGACTCGGTCTGTGGGCCAATGCTCTGACCGCTGAGACAAACCAGCCAGGGCTCTTCACTGCTTTTTTGGATTAGTTTCCAAACTGCACGGTCAGGACTGCAGGTTCCAGGGCCCTGGCGTCCAGAACAGGTGTGCCCACGTGAGGCTGCCTGTCCGGGCCTGGGCCACACGTGCTTGTCCTGGCGGAGACGCTGTCCTTGCTGAGCCCCCGGCAGCGAGCGGGCGGTGTCACCGAGCTGGGGGTGGGGGGTGAGAACAGCTGTCTACGCAGTTCCCACGAGGTTGGCGTCCATGCTGGACCGCAGCTCTAGGGGCCTGTCGTGGCATAAATACCAGTCATCTGTCCTTTGCTGCAGGGCAGAGGGGGGTTCAGAGCGCCCTGCTGGCACCCTGGCTCGTGGGCATCAGGCCCCTCGTGCCCGTGCTGTGGTTTCACACCCATGCTGCTGCTGGGGAGCGGGTGTGCCGTGTCACAGTCTGTCCTCTTGCTTCTAGAATGTGACCCTGCCTGTGTGGGCTGCACGGGGAAGGGCCCGGGACAGTGCAAGGAGTGCATCCCTGGCTACACGAAGGAGAGCGGCCAGTGTGCAGGTCGGTGCGCTGTGATGGGCTGAGCTGGGACCTTCCAGGGGCCACGATGTGGACGCCCATGAGCTGATGGGGGAACCCCTCAGGCTCCTGCTCTTCCTGCAGACCCCGCTTCCCAAGGTTCCCAAGTTCCTGGGGGTCATGAGCTGCAGAAGCACTGGGGGGGGGGGCAGCTGCCCTCAGGTGTGTAATGCTCAGGTCCCCCCGCCCAGGCCCAGAGCCCTGTGATTGGATGTTGGGCCTCGTGGGGGCCCAGCTGGAGCCCACCTGGAGGAAGGCAGCGCGGGGGAGACTTGGGTTAAACTCTCCTCTCGCTCCCGTCTAGTTGACGTTCTGAGTGAGCCTCGTGCTTTGCGGGGGAGCCTCCTCGCCGGAGGCTGTCTGCTGGGCGCAGTGGTCACTCGGGTCTTGGGCTTCCAGACGTGGACGAGTGCTCCCTCCCGGAGCGAGTGTGCCTGAGGAAGGACGAGAACTGCTACAACACCCCTGGCAGCTACGTCTGCGTGTGTCCCGAGGGCTTCGAGGAGACTGAAGACGCGTGTGTGCAGATGCAGCCCGCGGGGGACGGTGAGCGGTGCGGGGTCTCCCAGCCTGCCGGCCACCCTCTGCGTGGGGGCATGTGCGGGAGGCAGCTAACTGATGTGTCTCTCTCACACGTCAATGTTTCTCTCTCTCTGACCCCTCCCTCCTTCCCTCTCTCTAAAAGTCAATGGAAAAAAATCCTTGGGTGAGGAGTAACAAAAACACAAACAGAATCAGCCCTGGGTGGTGACAGCAGGGCTCCTGGAAGACGAGGGTGACTCGAGGAAGGGGCACAAAGGTGGGGTCACTGGGACTCAGTCACCAGGTGCAGCAGAGGGGACCAGTGTGGCGGGAGGCAGAGCTGAGCGGACATCCACAGACTGTCAGCATGAGTCTCCTGGGCGGGGGCACGGCACCCAGGCCGCCCCTCCTGCAGCAGAAACTGCTGCCCCCCCCCCCCCCCCCCGTTCCTGGAGACGGGAAGTCAGAGGGCTCCGCAGGGCTGCGTTCCCTCTGAGGCCTGCGGGGAGGGCCGCTCCTGCTGGCTGGTGTTCCTCGGCTCCCAGCTGTGTCCCAGGGGTTGGACCTCAACATCTTTTGGGGGACAGCTGTTTCTGTGACAATCTCAGAAGCCCTAGAAGGACACGGACAGTGTGAAAGAAGCAGTGTTGGGAAAGACACTGGTGAAGTTTCCAGAACGAATAGGGCGACGAGGCTCCAGGACTCCGCACCCTGAGCCGTGCAGGGAACCAGTCCACGTGCACTGTGGCCGTGGCCGTGGGCTTCCGGGACACAGACACCCGAGGTCTGCAGAGCTCGAGGGCACCTCGCTGCCCCTGGTTTGCCCCCCACTTTTCCTCCATTTGCTGCGGTGGCGGCTCCCCGCCCCAGCCCCCCTTTGCTCAAGCTCTTGTCTCATCCAGGTTGCGTTCAGGGGCACCTCACCAGCTCCTGACCTCTGGCTTCCGCACCTGGAGCAGCGCGGTGGCCCCCGAGTACAGTCTGGTCCATGTTTGCTCGGACACCCCCCGCCGGGAGGCTTGGGGCCACCGTGTCTGGAGAAAAGATGGCACAGGCCCCCAGTAAAGACTTTGTGGCCACACCCTCGGTTTTTGTATAGTTTTTTACCAAATGATCTGTTTCCTGACAGCTGTCCCAGAGGAGAACCTGACACAGCCGCCCTCCCGTGAAGACTTGTAAGGTGTCCCAGCCGGAGCCACACCTGCCCTAAGTTATTTAGACTGACCCCTGGCGGCACAGCCTGTGCGAGCCCCTACCCCGGCCACAGGGAGAAGCTGCCTTCAAGATGGTTGACACGCTCAGCCCTTCAAAAGCTGCATTTTTGGTTCTTAAGCAGATTTGTATATTTTGATACTGTTCTTTATAATAAAATGAACCACTGAAGGTAGCCGAGAACGCCTGTGGGTCTGTGTCACTGAAGTGTGGGCACTTGGAGCCGCAGTTTGCCGTCAGCTGCGCCCGCCCTGCTGGAGCAGTGAGACACTGGGCCACCGAGCCCTTAGGGCCACCGAGGCCTCAGGGCCACCGAGCCCTTAGGGACACACCGAGGCAGTGCGGCCCGGCTGTCCTGGGGGCCTGTTCCCACCTCCCCTGGCACCCACCTTCCTGGGCACCCACCTCAGGCCTGCAAGCTCAATCAAAATCCACCTGGAGGTGGTTTCAGGGCTCGATCTGTGGGCCCCCCTGGAGTGAGTTGTTGAGGGACCCTCAGGCGGGGCAGCCCTCTTGGGGGTGAGCTAAGGAAAAGCGCCCGTTGTAAACCCAGGGCCAGCTCCTCGGCTGGAAACAGCCGGGCAGGCCGTGGCATTGCGAGGCTGTGGCCTGCAGGGAGACCCACAGACACCTCCCCCAGTTCTCACAGGTCAAGGGGGCAGCAGACCACTCCTCTGCTTTGGCCCGGGGCCCAGGCGCACCCCACCTGGCAGCCCTGCCTCTGGCTCTCCCCAACCTCTGCGCTCAGCTCTGCGTCCGTGGGCAGTGGGGACGAGGAGCTTCCAGTCCCAGCCAGTGGTCCCCGAATTCCTAGGGGCACATGGAGCCCAGCTGGTTCAGCAGGGACGCAGCACCGGCAGGGGATGCTGCCGTCCAGTCCAGACCTCCTGGGCGCCACCCTGGGGGCGTTCACAGTAGCTAAGCTGACACACAGGCACCTCTGAGTCGGGACACCATGGTGCAGGCCGAGGGCAGTGGCTGGGTCGGCCCACGGGCACAGCAGGGTGTTGGGAGAGGTCGTCACCAGAGGGGGCTGGCCAAGGGTGTGGAGGGGAGTAGGGGTCAGGGCTGTGGGTCCCTGATGGACCTGGGGGTGGGGAGCCTTGTGGGCGGGGCGGGGGTTGGAGGAGGGCAAGCCAGCGAGAGAGCCGGGGGGGGGGGGGCAGGCCAGAGGGTGTCAGGTGCTGTTGGAGGTGCTGACGGGTGGGTGAGGGAGGCCCTGGCCAGAGTCCCTTGGGGGAGGAAGGTTGGTACAGGTGACTCCTGTGGGGACAGAAGCTGCACCTGCGCCAGTGACTAGGACAGGTAGGGACAGGCAGGTGGTCCAGGGCCCACTCCCAGAGGAAGGCCAGGCCAAGGAAGACAGTTTCTGATCGGCCTGGGTCCCACCCCCGGGACGCAGAACTGACCCCTTCCAGCTGGGACCCAGAGAATCTCAGGTCCTTGCGGAAAGCCACAGGGCTGGATGTGGCCGCTAGGTGGCACTGTCACCCCATACATGGCTGGGTCACCCAGGAGCCACCCCCTCCCATCCGGCATGGGGGGGGTACAGGCGTCCCCTCCCCACCACAAGTGCCATTGGTAGGTGACCTGAGGAACTGGGCCTGTGTCCCTGCAGCTGGCGCCGCCCCCCGCTGGCCCACAGTGTCTGAGGGCCCTCTACAGGCCCCAAACCAGCCCTCTGCTGTGCTGCCGCCCACCTAGACCACCTCCGTGGACCCTGTGGGGCCTGGGGAGGGACAAGGCCAGGCTCTGCTCTGGGGCCCCCACTTGGGGCCCCCACTGCTCCTCCCCCACCCAGCAGAGGGAGAGTCTGGTTGAGCTGGTTCCCAAGCGTGGGAACTTCTGCTGTCCCTAACGCGAGGCATCCCAGGACTGGCACCTCTTGCTCCCTCCCTCGCTCCCTCCACTAGGGTCTCTGCTCAGCTGTCCCCCCTCATAGAACTGCCCTAGACCCCTCCCCAAGTCACACCCCTCTGATGCCTCTCGAACTTGGCAGGCAATGCGGCTCCTTGGACGGACCTGGGCCTCAGCCTTCTCATCTGGACAGAGGGTGCTCCCAACTGAGGGACACCACCACCTGCTGGGAGGGGGTGGGGTGAGCAGTGGTGTGACTGGGCAAGAAGGGCAGGCTCTACTCCTGAAGGGCCTTGCCAGGCAGGGGTGACGGGCACAGGCAGGGCCCCTGGGACCACCGTGGCTGAGGGTCCACAGGCTACAGTGAAGGGGTGTGGGTTCTGCGGGGTTCAGTGTTGGGCCCTTGTGTAGGGTCTGGCCCTGCCTGGAGAGGGTGACGTGGGGGAATCCCCACCTCTGGCAGCCGCCGCATCTGGCCTTGCGGCCTCCTCTCCAGCCCAGGGGTGGGGGTGGGGTGCAGTGTGTGTACCAGAGTGGGGACCACACTACCAAGAATCCACTCTGTGACTCCTGGGCCAGAGGGATGGGTGTGGCCAGCAGGTGGCGCTGTGGGACCTCCAGAGCAGCCCCTCTGCCTGAACTCTGAGCCCCAGCCAAGGCACCCCCGGCGGGAGTCAGGGCGCCTGCTCTGCTGGGCCTGAAGGTCAGGCCCCAGGGCTGCTCCCACCCACCCACAGGTCCTGGACCCGGGAGTGGTGCTTTGGGGACACAGCACCCCAAGGAGGTCCTGGGAGGGCTTCCATCCACACAGGCTCGGCCATCCACCTGGCCTGCAGCTGGCCGTCACATGTCCAGTCAGGCTAGAAGCTGCTGGAAGTGTGGTGTGTGCGTGCCCGTGGTCACTGCCCAGCCCTGCCCCGGCTTTCTGTGCAGTGGGCCCTGGCCTGCTGCATCGTCCGGTGGGATCCGTGTCATAGTCAAACGTCTCTGAGCCGGCACTTTCCACAGGCGGCCCGGGGATACTGGCCAGGGTCTGGGGACATCTGTCACGACTGGGTGAGTGGGTGCTACGGGCTCAAGGGTAGGACCAGGGATGCTGTGCAGTCGTCTCCAGGGCCCAGGACAACCCGCCAGGCCTCAGCACAGCGGAGGGATGGCGGGCGGGGAGGGGCTAACAGACTTGCCGTCCCCTCTCCGGCCTTCCTTCCCGGTGGGGCTGGAGAAGGCACCCATCTGTGGCCTGGGACACCATGGCTGGCTACAACCCGGGTGACTTCTGCAGCATCCACGGTCATCCTGGACCCCCCACATGGTCAGACTGGTGGGCAAGTGGCTATGACTGGACAGGTATTTTGCATCCTCAGGTCTGTTGTCCCAGTACTACCACCCAGGATGTCACCGCGCTGTGGGCTTCCTCTCAGTTGGGGCCTTGGCAGAGGCCCCCTGGACTTGCCGGTGCTGATGGCCAAGGCGGCGATGTCCGCCCTCAAGGGTGTCTGCTCCATTCGTCCATTCTGGGCCCAGATAAACGACCACTGGTCAGGGACAAACCTGGCCGGAGTTCCCTGTTCCCTGGGAGCCCCCCACTCACAGGGAGCCACAGGGAACCCCGGAAACCCTGTGTCGGCAGCCCTCGGTGTTTGGGCTCTCCCCTCCCATGTCATTTGCAGGTCTTGGTGCCGACTTGCCTGGTGGTGAGACTCGGCCCCCTGGGGACCCAGCCCCACTTGCTGTAGGCCTGGAAACGGGGTGACGGGTCACAACCGTTCACTGGGGCCTCCTGGTCACACATCCTTGATCTCCTCCTCCGAGCCTCTCCAGGGAACACTGTGTTCTGCTGCTCACAGCCCGGCTGCCTCAGGCCCTTGGCCCCGCTCGAACCTCGCTGCTCTGGAGAGCTGTGTCCACCGGGCCCTGCCGGCCAGGTGCCATCGCTCCGGCACTGTCAGACGGCCCCTCCCTGTCATCGGGCCCGTGGGAGCCTCCGCCAACCCTCTCAACGGCATGAGGGCCTCTCCCAGCACTTCCTGGTCCTCCAGCCCCTCGCCCATCTGCCATGCTGTTGTGACATCCTGCCTTCTTCACCGGCCTCCGTGCTTCTAGCGGCCTCCCAGTGCCGTGACCCGGCAAAGGCCCCCTGCCTGCCCTGACATGCTGCTGGGTCCTGAGGTCCCTTGGGGGCACAGTCCCTTGGTCTCGGGCCAGCACGTCCCTCCCGGACAGATCTCCATTTAGTCCCGGAGGGAGATGGGCAAAGTACTGTTGTCTTCAGGTGGGGCCTGGGCCACTGCGTGGGCCACAGGCCACGGGGTTAGCGTCACCCCCTGCGTGGACATTCCCTCCAGCCAGCGCCCCGGCTGGGACACCAAGCCTCCTGGTCTCTCCCCCAACCCATTATCCTTCCCCAGAGCAGCAGGGGACAAAAGCAGCCCCCTATGACATCATCATCCTGTACCCCGGACCCTGCTCAACTAGTGCAGCCCCTTCCCGTTCTCCACAGTGACAGCAGACGACTGGACTGCCCACTGGGCAGAGTGGTCTCTGTCTCCACCTTCACTACCAGGGCTGCCCTGGCCTGTCCTGTCCTGTCGGTTCCCAGAGGGGTTCTCAGCTGACCCCCAGGGAGCACAAAGGGGGTAACAGTTCAGAGATATCCGAGCTGACGAGGGGCTGGATTCCCTGCAGGCCAAAGGTGAGGTACCAGCAGTCAGACAGGTCCTGTTCCTCTTCTCACACCCTACATCTGTCCACCTCCCCACCTACATGGTCAGCACCCCCCTCCCCCACTGCGAGGCATGCCCACCCATTCCCAGTCACACAGTTGGGTGCTCTCTCACCACCCCACTCCTGCCCCCCAGCAGCCTTCAACCAAAGCCTGTGCCTTCCCCACCCCACCTCACTGGCTCCCCAGGTCCCAGCCGCCCCTCTGTGGGTGGTCCCCTCCCTGGCCCCTCATTTCCCACTGCCCAGACTCTGCAGACTGGCTCCTGGGGGCCCTCCTCAGCTCACACATGCTCCCCTCCAGCCTTCGGACTCCCAGCAGGTCTGCTCTGGTCCCTCCCACAATGCCCCCCTCCCACCTCTGCTGCTGCTCATGGTTGATCCCTGGAGGCAGGCTGGCCTGGGGGCGGGGGGCAGGGGGCTCCAACTCTCCACTGGACAGGGTGCCAGTAAGAGGGTAATTAGGGTCAGGGCCTGGCTTTGCTGGTGACCTTTACTGCACAGCCAGCCTCCTGGTGCCAGTTGGGGGCATGTCAAGGACTACGGGGGGGGGGGGGCACAAAAGCCCTCGGTCTGTCCTGGAGGCAGCGATGGGGGC